CAATTAAATTCTGCCGTAAAGTATTAATTGAAATATTGTAACTTATAATAATACTACAATATTAAAAATCATATCATTTTAAAGCTTTGTTTTGAAACAGTAAATCAAAAAAGAAATCATTTCAATTGAATGTGTAATCAATTAATAATGACTAATAAACGAGAGGTAGTCCTCAACCCCTTTGTGACATGAATGCAAAAACGCATTATAAAAATGTATGTGTTTTAGAGTTTTGACAAAACGCACTCTCCTTGCAATGCTATTCAATGGGAAACTCCTTATCAGAACTACCTCTCGTTTATTAGTCATTATTAATTGATTACACATTCAATTGAAATGATTTCTTTTTTGATTTACTGTTTCAAAACAAAGCTTTAAAATGATATGATTTTGAATATTGTAGTATTATTATAAGTTACAATATTTCAATTAATACTTTACGGCAGAATTTAATTGACAGTACGTTAGTAGCTATGAGTCTCACAAACAGTACCGAGCTTAAGTTAGTGAGTTGTTTAGGCGATGAAAAAGAAAAAAGTGAAACTTATTTTAATTTATTAATAGCATTTAATTACAGAAAAGTACAGTATCTAAAAGTGCCGTACATTTAAAGAATATTCTGTGAATTTTAATGCATAATTAAGTCTAATCTCCTAATAGAGTCTATCAAACAATAGGCAAACTGTGTGCCTATTAAAGCCCAGAATATTCTGTGTATAAGAAATATATTTCTTCATTAAAAACAAAAGCAAATTAAGGCTAAAATTTCATTAAAAGGCTAAAATGGATTAAAAATATTTATATTCATATTTTATATTTATAGATACTTTTATATAATGCATAATAAAAAGTAATCTAGTTATAAAAATGTTTGTTCAGCGTATGGCGTAAGACGTATGCGACATAAAAATTAATCTTTAATAATGGCATCAATTTATATGCAAAATAAAATTCAAGATTTCTTAAATACAATGACAATGCAGTGAACGCCGTAATTATATTAAAACATACAAATAAATCAGTTGTTAATAATGGACACAAAACTTGTAATTTACTCCATGTTAAGTCACAAAATTAATACGATATAATGTCGAGTAAAATACACTGTTATTTGTGTGCACAGTATAAAAGTGGGTCCACTATTTACTGATAAACATTGCTTGATAATCTTAGATTGACATACAGTAAATGGTGGTCAGATGTGTATGTATGTGTGTGTGTGAGAGAGAGAGAGAGAGAGAGACTCATCGAAAATAATGTCATGTGAATTGTGTAACCAAACAGTTTACACAAAAAATTAAAGCCAACTCTCACTACCAAACCTATAAACCGCACAAAACACACACCACTTTTGATTATCCACTTTTATTTGTCGTAAACTGTTTTTCTCTTTGCTCCTATTTTTTTTATTTCTTACAATATTTTAGTTTATATATAACTTTATATTATATAACATATTATTAGTTAAGTAAAGTCTAGAGTTTATAAGCATTTATAAGACAACAGAGAAAACAGTTTTCAAAATACTTTTCACTTAAAATAAAAGAAAACTGTTTCAAAGAATATTCCGTTGAGAATACTTTCGTATAGTTAGGATCTCTCTCTTTCTCTCTCTCTCTCTCTCTCTCTCTGTCTGTCTGTCTCTCTGTCTCTCTCTCTCTCTCCTTCCATAAGCAATATACAGTTGTATCGAATCATTAAGACTATAATCAGTAAATCATTGCATAAAATGCTATACAATTATCAGAATCTTAGCTTTGTTCAACCTTTCTAAAATAATTCATGCATCAAATATAATAAATTTGTGTATTTATTTTTGATAATTATAACGCCCATATGATCAGTCAATAATTAATTTAAGACATTTATTATATTGACACTTAATACCCTGGTACTAAATGTGCAAAGCCCTAAAGCCCTAATACTATACTCATTTCATGCTACTATTCATTACAGGCCAGTAGCACTGGTATCACACACTCACATGAATTATATGACAGCAAATTTTTTATATAATTAATCCCTGTGCTCCACAACCCCTATTCCCATTGGTTATGTCACAGACTTTCATTGCGATACACAGAATATTCTTTGTATTTCTTACAATGTCTTGAGTTTTATGACTTAGTTTTTATGTCTTTTCTCATTTGCTCTTATTATTCAATTAGGATTTTAATTCCTAAGCAAAAAGTATAATACAATACAAATAGAATTACAGAATATTCGCTATTACTTTTATGTATCGAGATAAAAATAGGTTTACTTGCATCTCTCTCTCTCTCTCTCTCTCTCTCTCTCTCTCTTAATTCTTTCCTATTTAACGACAATAAGTAGCAGTCTATATGTCAAACAAATATAAATAGAGAGAATATAAAAAGTTTTTCTCTCGCTTTCCTTACATTTTCTCGCATTTTATTATGTTTTTGTCGTCAAATCGAAAGGAAACAAAAAAATTAGCGGAAAGAGAAAACATAAGATTTTCCTCTCGTTTTTTGAAGTAAATTATATTCGAGAGACACATATATTCTGTGTGTTGTGTGAGTGTGTAGTATAAATGGGGAAAGGGATGGAGTGAGAGTGAGTGAGTGAGTGAGTGAGAGAGAGAGAGAGAGAGAGAGAGAGAGCAAAAGGAGCCCCAAAAAATCGATAATTGCCTCCAAAGTTGTTGAGAGTGTTGTGTATATACAGTGAACGACATAATTATAAGTGACAGTTATTTACAGACCATTATATTAAGAGATGTGTAATGTTTTTATCATAAATTTCTTGTGTTTGCTTTTTTGTGAGTCCATTCATTTGCTTAAATGAATTCATGATTCCAGTTGTTGTGTATGCATCAAATTAATGCATATTTTTAAAATTTATTTATGTTTTCCTATATCAAATGTACATAGTAGGCACTCCATGTGTAGGTTTATCGTGTAGGAATAATGTTTGTACAAAACTATGTTAAATAACTAATTGAGATTAGATCTTATCGTAAGTACCAATAAAAGTCATATTAATATTTAATAAATTCTATTAAATGAATAATTTATAGGGAGTTTTATAAACATTTTGGTTGCTTTATGTATGAAGCCTTTTGATGATAATATAAACTGATATATTAGTTATTTTTGACATAAACTGTACTCTAGTTTATGATTTTTTCTTAAAGAATATAATGTTTGCTTTTAATTCCGGTTCCCATTCAGTTTGTAACCATTGATAGTCAATAAACTTTATAATACACAACATTTGTATGGCTTTCGTACTATTCAAAGTATATATAGAGTGAATTTAGTGCAAATACTTATACATAAAAACATTTCTATTAAAGCTTTACAAATAAACTCACGACTAGTCTACAAATATTCTGTACTTTCTAACCACAGAATTTGGCGTAAATATTGAAAAGACCGGTCGCGGGCACCGGTATCTTAATCAGCGAAACGGTGTCCGGGAATGAACTCAAAATGAACTGATAGTTATTGATTGTGGTCACAATCAGCATTTTATTGTCATATGTGATGTCAATGTCTTTGAATTGAACTTTGTTGTCGAAACCGCTTCTGAATGTATTAAACAACTTGTACTGACTTATGATTGGTTGCCAACTCGTGCGGCCATACATATGGAACCTCCCGTTGTGTATCATAAGCACCGTATGGTTTGGTCCACAAATCACTTTACGATAGACCCGATGATGGAAAGTGTTGATCTGTCGGGGACTACAGTACGAGAGGTTGCGCTTCATAATCACGTGACCCAATTGGTTGCTGTCATTACTTCCCCACACGTATACTCTTCGGGTGGTCGTAAGGGCCGCCGAATGGTGTTTACCACAAGATATCGATTCGATCGTATCGGTGATGTCCACTCTTGTGGGCTTCAAAACTTTCCCATCTTTTACGACACCTGTTTGGCAGTAGTAGTTGGCGCCCCACCCGTACACCACACCATCGCAAGTGAGTCCAAGTGTGTGATTATCACCGCAACAGATCCCAACGAATCGTTTATATGTATTCTTTTTACTCAACACTTCTATGGCTTGAGGTGTAAGCATGTCTTGAGTGGATCCGATGCCCAGTTGTCCGTAACAGTTGCAACCCCATCCATAGCACTGTCCACTTGTGGTCAGTCCTATACAGTGACCCAAACCATAAGTTATTGCAGACAATCGTTTCCACGAAAGGTTTCGGTTTAGTTGTGGTCTCTCAAAGTGGACATCACTTCCCACTCCCAGACCTAGTCTTCCGTATCGATTGACAGGTTTTGTCATCTGGAGCAGTAGCCACCAGTGCTGATAGTGTAGTGACGGTATTAACAGCGGCTTCTGTATGTTCTCAAACTACCAACTTCACCACCAGTAGACAACCAGTGGTGAGACAAACAACGGGAGCTCACCTGTGTTGACGCCCTTGGCAACCTACTGTAGATTTGATAGGTAAGTAAACAGAAAGTTAGTTTACAGTCTTTTTATAACTTTATTTACAAACAAAACAAGTGATTTAGTCTGCTAAACAGAGATGTTTGGCTAAAATCAATCATAAATAAAGGTACCAAAAGTGCACTCAAAATATGTACACATTTTAGACTATTTTTACGAATTCATTTTATACGATATCATACATTGAAAACTATTTGACCCAGGCAAGTTTGGCGCTTATTTTAAACCCAACACTTACGGTATAATAAACAGAATTTTATTGAAATATGTCTTTGATGGTGAAACTTACTAGCTTATGTGCTATTATTATGTGCTTGTTTAGATTAGGAAAATTAACTTATAAGTATAACATAATTCTAGTAACAAATGACTGCAATTCTATATGAATACCTGTCACTGAAAGGATGAATCAATTTATAAAATTTAGTCTTATATCATATGACTGTGAATAACAATTATGGTATATACAATTAAATACGGTATTGGTATTGATACTATTAAATGTGATTAATTAGATACTATTACTTTACTGACATATATTTAAATATGTATTCAAAACAATAATCTTTGAGCTCCAGTTCCCTGTATTCTTTGGCCAACTTTAGCAGTTGTGTGCAGTTGTTGTCATTGACTTCGGGAGTGAGTCCATAGAAATACATGAGAAGTGATACAAATGTCTCATAAGAATAGCTCTTAATATGGATCTCATTCTCATTCATCAAATTCTGTTGACATTCTGTTTCCCAAAACCTTTTGCACCGAATCTTAAGAATCATTTTGTGGCTATAAATGCATTTGTTTTCCACTTTGAATGTAAGGTCAGAATCCAATGGATTATTAAATGCTTCCGTAAAATGCTTTAGAAATTGTCTGAAAAATACATTTCAATTTAAAATAAAATCATACCATAATTAATCTAGATTACTAAATCATTCACCTCGCAAATGGATCAATACTGGAACCACTAATCGGGGTCTCAATGAATGTGGTGTAGTCGACATTTGCTGAGGTTCCCAAACATTGGTTGTTAAGAATAGAAGCGTTTGAATCCCTATCCAATCAATTATTGTCATTCATTATTATCAAAGCATTTATACTGTAAGTGTTTAGCCATCAATTGAATGCTAACACATTACCATTTTGTAGACACGTATAAAACTTACTTAAGCGTTGGATCAGTCATCACATTGTCGAGCGGTAGTCCACTCACAACGGAATCACTTGTTTGTGGCCACTCTTTGTTGGTTAACGGATCAAAGAGACACAAATCCCACGCCATCAGTGGTTTGGTATTCAATGGAGTGTTTGTTTCATTTGATTCTCTGTCCAGAAAATGCATATCTAGATCGTCCTCTTCAGCGATATTTCCATCATTTGATCCACAATCCAAACCATTAAAATCGTTACTAATCGGATTCACAGCAATCGATGTGTTCATTGGCTTCACATTCTCCGAGTCTTCCTCTTCAGTCTTATTTGATTCATAATTCAAGTCATTCTCATCGCAAACATCTATTTCCATAGCAATCGATGTATTCATTCGTTGTTTGAAATCATTGAATGTCTCCCAAATTGATTCAAAATTCTTGTCGCTTTCAGTTGCAGTGGTTTTCACACTTTGATTGTCATCAACGGAAGCGTTCAAATCCCTATAAAATCATAAAACAGTAATTAGGATACTATTCATTGTTTTCGCCATCAATTCAAAGCTATGGTATGAAGACTTACTCAAGAGTTGGATCAACCATCGCATCTGTGAGGGATTGTCCACTCGATTGTGAACCACTTTTTGGTAGTGATTCTGTGGTAAATTCCGGTTCACAAAGAGATAAATCTGATGCCATCACTGGTTTGTTACGCAATGAAGTGCTGTCTTCATCTAATTCTTGACTGTCAGACAAATACAGTTCATCTGAATCGTCCTCTTCAACGCTATTCCCATCATTTGATTCATAATTCAAATCATTATAATCATAAGCACTTGG